TACTGCTGATCACTATAAAGCGCTCCATGAGCTGGAACGAATGAAGGAAACGGTCATTTTAGAGCCTGATAAGGGGTTCCGGTATGGTCATTCTTGATAGGTTAGAGTATTTACTCAAGATGGAACTAATACTGTCAGACATCACGAAATGCAAGCCAGATACAACATTCAACACAATCCGGTTGGTCGAGAAGCAATTGTCTCGTGAATTACAGATCTTACTGCTACATGGTTTCATCTCAGATGAGGAATATAAAATTCTAAAGCCAGTAGGCACACACACTCCACAGATGTATGGTTAACTGAAGGTGCACAAATCAGGACTACCTATGCGGTCAATACTCTGTGTGGTAAATTCGCCGTACCATGCCATTTCTAAATGGTTGAACTGTATGCTCGAACCAGTGAGAATGTTACTAGTAAAACATACTCTCTTAAACACTTTCAGAGTACTTCCCCATTTGGAAGTCATCAACTTAGCCCACAAACTTGACGTTCAGTCAATTTTCACCAATGTTCCCTTGGAAGAAGCTGTTGACCCCCTATGTGAGTTTATCACGAAAAATGAAACTCGATTGCAATTGCCCGCCGAATTGTTGAAAAACATGCTCCTGTTGTGCACAAAAAATGTTAAGTTTTACTTTCAGGGAAAAACATATCGACAGATCGATGGTGTGGCTATGGGCAGCCCATTAGGCCCTTTGTTGGCGGACGTATTCATGGGTATGATTGAAGAGAAGTTGGAGAACATCATCAAATCCGCAACCCAATGAGAACGTTATGTTGATGACATATTGTTAAACATGGACTCAGATAATGATATTGCACTTGCAACCAAAGCGCTCAATCGTGTGCATCCGAATCTTACTGTGACATGTGAAACTGAGCACGGCAATTGTCTCCCATAGGCATATTGCGCACAGGACCACTAGATGGTTCGATAAAAAGATCAGTCTACCGGAAAACGACTTGGACAGGTCAATACTTACATTGTAAGAGTTTCTCGCTAATCCATGATAAGCGCACTTTAGATGGAACGTTGTTCCATCGGGCTCATATGATCTGCACCACAAACACAATGGAGGCATAGAAAGAACTGCTGTTTGACGTATTGCAATCTAATGATTACCCATTGCAAATTATAAAGCGCTACAGTGAGTCGATGAAACGAGACCGAGAGACAACGGTTCAAAGGAAACCGGTGTTCATTACGTTGCCTTTCAAAGGTGACCACAGGTGATCATGCAAGTCACTGCTGACAGAATGAACGCCTCAATGAAAAAGGCATACAACGCAGCAGAGCTACGCTTGTTGGTGGCTACAAGACCAATACTTAAGTGTTCAATGAAGACGTCTGTGTCGAAGCAGTGCAGGTTCCCTTACTTATACAAATTCACGTGTAGATGTGATGACAGCTATGTTGGGCGCACTACTTGGACTCTGGGTGCTCGGATCAATGAACACATTCCAAAGTCGCTCCGCAAACAGATGGAAAATGCGACGATCGCAAGCGGTGAATGGATAAATAAAGTTGCCTCCGCAGTTACAAGACATTTAATGATCACCGGTCACCAAGTAAACCCAGATGTATCATTCACAGTCCTCATGCGCAGTCAAAGGCCTCACATACTCAAGCTACTCGAGGCCATTGTGATCCATCGACAGCGCCCACCGCTGTGTCCAAAAACAGCTGACAGTGACATTAAGCCAACGGCGGTAGCGTGCAAGGCACCAATTGGAAAACAGGTGATCTGTGGTTGGTTTCATGTGACCTTGTTTTTGCATCTCTTTTTAGTTGCTTGTATAGTGGTTGAGGAGTATGCACGAAATGACAATGACATCCCACAATCTTCGTCTTCTGATATTCTTATTTCTGATGCGCTCTATTAATTCTTGTCTTACTGCACGATAACGAACTGTTGGTGTTGGTGCGTTGTTGAGAAGGCGTAGTCGTTTTGATCCGGAACGTTTACTTATGAAGTTTTGCGCAACGTCCCCTTTATCTTCCACCCATTATTCTTCGTACATTAGGTCCTTGTGGTTATACGGCAGCGAAGCATCAATTCCATTAGTTTATTTACTTCTGTCTTTGTATGCGTTTATACTCTCCATCGGTATCTCATCGCACGGGTTTGCTCGGTGTATTACTGTGCTGACACTCACTGCAATTTCTCTCCATTTTCACACGGCTTCTTTTAGCCACTTGGAACATAATCATCGTGTTCTGCTTCATTTGCCTTATAGTGTTCGGGCGGTGACCGAAAGGATTTGGCGGCTGCCTTGTAATCCAGAGGTGCTGGCTATCTCGCTATATTCCCAGCGAACTTGCGACTGGTGGTGGTTGCATAACATCGAAGCGCCGGTAGTGACCCGGCACAATTGTAGTGCCTTTCTTTTCTCCTTTTTCTGACTTTGATATTCGATTATCTACCTTGCTTTACACTGGTATTTACTAGTGTACTTGACCTTGAAGCCTATAGGTCGCAGGTTCGAGTCTACGTTGTGGACCGGCGGACCCTCGCAATATCCTTAGCCCACGCGCAACTGGTGATGGTTGCGTGGCAACGAAGCGTCGGTACTGCGTACCGCCGTACTACTGATGCCCTATACATTGAGCACGGAATAACAGAATCCCGAAACGGACACATATTACATATTTGGTGACACGTGAGATCGAACTGTTGAAGTTATATAAAGTCACGGGACCTGATGATCTTTCTCCAGTTCTCTTCAAATTCAGGGGACCTGCTCTTGTGGATGATTTACACGAGTTACTAGTCAAACTGTGGGAGCGGGAAACTGTCCCAACCGATTGGAGCCGCTCCGTCATAGTCCCAATTTTCAAGGGAGGATCACGATCGGAATGCGGCAGCCATAGAGGAATCAGTCTGATCTCCATCGCCTCCAAATTGCTTGCTTGTCATCCTTCACAGACTGACTGGCACTCGTGAAGTCGCATCTGAAGGCAAGCTGAATTTCGTCGAGGTCATGGCTGCATTGACCACATCTTCACTTTGCGTCAATTATTGGAGCACCGTCACATATATTGGCGGCCCACCGTTGTCGTGTTCCTCGATATCAAAGGTGCATTCGATTCGGTGGATAGACATGCACTTTAGGACTGTCTACTCAGAAAAGACGGACCATGAGAAAAATGTAAATCTTACCCGATCATTATACGCGCGTAGCTCAGGCAGAGTGAGGACTTACGGCAGGTTGTCGTTACCCTTTAATATCTCCAGTGGCGTGAGACAAGGATGCCCGCTGTCACCTTTCCTCTTCAACTTCGCTGTTGACGAAGTCATGGAAATCGCGTTCACAGTACACGACTTAGAAGATGTGGATCTGCTCCCAAGAGAACTTCTTGACTTAGAGTATGCTGATGATATTGCCCTGATCTGTGACAGCTCACAAACGTGTCAAGCGACACTGGACAGATTAGCACTAGCCGTCCGTCACTTCGGGCTTTGCTTCGCACCCTCGAAGTGCTAAGCGTTCCTCCAAGGTTGGTCTGGACCGCCTCCTTCGCTGACTCTTGGTGGCGATCAGCTAGAAGTCGTTTAAAAATTCAACCCCCTGGGAAGTTGTATCAGCGCCCGTGGGATTGAAGATAAGATCACGAAAAGTATAGCAAAGCTCGAGGCACTTTTGCTAACCTTCATCACTTATGGCGCCGGCGCGACATCACTCTTGCCCTGAAGGGTAGAGTGTACAATGCAGCGGTACGTTCGACCCTACTGTACGGTTGTGAAATCTGGCCGCTTAAAGCAGCGGACCTGAAGAGGCTAGTTACGTTCGACCACCGATGCCTTCGTAATTTAGCTCACATTTGGTGGGAACACCGCGTGAGCAACGAGCGTGTTCGACGCCTTGTTTACGGCACAGGAAAAAGAAATGAACCACTCAGCATCGTCATTTCACGCACCAGGCTCCGATTGCTCGGCCACGTGTTACGCATGCCAGCCCACCGACTCCCGCGACGTGCGTTGTTTGCGCGCCGGGGGTGTGGATGGAAGCGATGACTTGGTCGAGAGTAATGAAGGCCCTCACTTCTGAGCTGGCCTCGGTTGGAGCGTCTCGGCTCCCTGGTTGTGGCCTGAAAGACGATGAACACGTTTGGTTGGACACACTTGCTGATATGGCTAGGAGCCGACCTCAGTGGCGTTCGTGCTGTGCGTTTCTTTGTCCCACTCCGTCCCTCTTAGCCTCCCCCTCCAACCACGATCTCATTATTTAACTTTATATAATTTCGCATAGTATTTTTTGATGCACAGTAACCGGCTGGTAGCTTACCGGAACGATACTCATCCGTTACCGGTAGCTCAGCCGGCTTGCACCAGTTGCTTCTTTTTCTCCTTTTTCTGTGTATTGCGACACAGTAGCTGAGGTGTTCCCCACCTCTAGGTTACGTGTATGATGATGATGACGATGACACGGCGAGTTCTCGGCAGCAGTGCGAAGCTGGGTTGTTGCGCTTGAGGCGACCATTGCCTTCCTTATGACTACTGCTTGTCGGTTCATCTACTAAGCCTTGCCCGCCGCACTCATCATTTTTTCTACAGTTTGTACCGACTAGGTCATCCGTAAGGACTAAGGACCGCTTCTCCACAGGTGAAGGTATTATGGCAGGTGCGAGCGTGATACCGTTGCTGCCATCAAGCTAAGGACTGTTGAACCACGATTAGATGCCATTGTTGTTTTATTTTCCATTTGCTTTCCAGGTTTGCTTACAGCTATCACTCGTGTTCGCTGTCATGATCGATTCAGCTCAGACTCTATTCTCCTGGCACCTGTAACAACAGCGTCCAATTCGCTGCTAAGCACACTACTCCCCCATTCGTTGTGATAACTTCATCCAACCGCCTACGAGTTATTTGTTGTCTACTTCAGCTCCCCAAGTCTATTGCGACCTGTTCATTGATTACCGATACCGCTTCTTTATCACATCGAACACGGAATAACTCGAAATCCAGGACCGGACGCATATTACAGATGGAATCATGCTTAAGCAGGATTTTGAACTTTTGGAATCATTAAACCACGGAGTTCACGTACGTTAGCGTCGGCGTACTTTCCTCTGTTGCGTCGTCCACTTTAATCTCACATGTCTAGAATTGTGATGTTTTGTATAATCTCGATTACGTATACTCACTGCTGTATTATTCTGTGTAGTATAGTTGCAGTTTGTGGCGGTTCATACTTAAGTCTGGACAAGCGCATGTGCATATGTTGTATTCTAACTGCCATTGGACATAGATGACGCCAATCCGTGTGTGTTTACCGATTGAATTCGACGGGGCATACCGCTTTTGTACGGCCAACTTAGTGCAGGGATGCGGCACTGGGGCAAACCGAAAATAACTATTAAGATATGAAGGTGAGTTTATGACGAACTAATGTTGATTTCAGGTGTTGCGAATCAAAGGCAAAGTTGATTGGTGCGAATTCCGTGGACTGATCCAGAGGGCTGTTGCCCAGGTGCAGAAGAAGGCACTATTGCACGCGGAATAGAAGCACGATGCGTACGCTCTCATTCGACTTACTAGTTCAGGCCAATAAGTCGGCGTATGTGGTACGTTTGCCTGCGTGCTGAGTATTCTTGCATTTCCGAAGTAGATGTTGTTTGAGGTTTCCGGTGTGGCTGCGCCTGATGTGAATGTGGACGAAGTGCCTACTGTCTACTACCCTCCACCTCGTTTGCTGGCTCTAGGAGACAGTTGACCGTTGCTGTAGGGGACGAATTGCACCGTCTTCTTGACGGTGCTAGGCTCAAAGAGTGGTTCCATGCAACCTGTGTGGAACGGGCGGGCTACGGCCCAGCCACCGCCTTGTGTACATCTGGTGTACATGATTTCCAAATTAGGCCGGAATGCTTCTGTTCTGCTTGTTGAAGGAGTGTGGGCCGGCTCCGTTGATGAAACGTGGCTCCCATCCACATGCCTCCCGGTCTTATTCCTTCGGGTTTACCTTAGATTTGGGTGGTGCAGCGCAAGCCACCCATCGTCCCTCTTTAGGTGCGGGCGTCCTGTGGCTGGAATCGTGGAGGCCACAGTGACAGGCAAATCCAGATAAGGATGCCGCCAATCCAGTATAGTTGCATGGCAACATGCCTTTGAGCATTTCAGTTTTATGTTTGCCTGGACCTGGTTTGAGGTGTGACTACTCAAACTGTAGACTTAAGTTTGTATAACTTAAGGCAACTGTAGCTATGATAGGAAGATTTAAGCTTAACTCTCAATCAGTGAGTCCCTAATGCTTGTTTTTTGCTTTTCTCCGGTTAATGGATTGCCGTTCGGTTAGATTAAGTGAACTATTCCAGTACACGCGATTCCGGAGTTTTAATCGCGTAGCCTTACTCACGGTGACTAAGTTTAATGTCATGCTGTCTGGCCTCAGTTGGGGCTATTACTTTTCGACCCAGTTACCTGCTGATTCATGTTGTCTAGATTGTTTCCTTATTGTCTCCAGCTTATGGAGCCTGACTCTGGTGCTCCATAGACCAGCGCACTAGTAAATGATGCAGTGACGGTATCCTAGCCGAGTTCATCTCGTGTCTGTTTGTCTCGTCCCTTTTGTACGTTAGATCGAGTTGCTTTGCTTGTTGAGCTTGACGAGGCCGATTCCACTATTACCACATCGTTTACCGACCAGCACGAGTAACCATTTGATACACAGTGTAGTATTCTCAAGATTTCACCAGTTTGCTTGAATTTACTACATAAAATTTTAAAATTAATATATCATTGAGCTCGTTTCTTTGAAGCAAGCAGCACTTTTTTCTGAGCGCCTTGGCCGTTCTGCATCGCGCAGCCACATCTTGTGTTACATCTTCCCCTTCCTCTGCCTAGCAACATACATAGGTCTCGCTTTTATAGCTAGGATAAGACGGAGTATTTTGCCTTACAAAACCAAGGCTCCATGCACGCATCTGCCTTTTGGAACCGCGATTTGTGCTGTTGCTGCAAAGGATTGACCGATCAACCGCTACGGAGCGACCCATCTGCGTGTGTGCGTGAGGTATATTTCTCACGACTTTTATAACTAGAAAAACATCCAGTGAGCGCTTTTCTACCACTCTTTTGCTTCACACATCGCAAGCCGACTCCCAGAGCATCACAATACAGTTTTGTACATAAGGTTACACTCGAAATTTGCTCGAGTTACCAGTTTGTGTCCTGAATTCGTCCCATTGGGACTGTCAGTTGTACAAGTTGATCAGTCAGCTGCATTCACTCTCGCTGACTTGGCATGCGATTTTATTGAAAAGCGGTTAGGTGTAAGTTACGGTCGATGACATGTTATGTAGCGTCATATTTGGTATTACCTTATTTCTTTTCCGGTAACACGCTGACTTTATGCCTGTGCCAGATTGGTTAGTATGACATATAAATCACTCCGTGTTGGCGTGACTGTTCGCACTGTCTCATTTCCATCACAAACTGTCCAAATGCCCTACACTTTCTTGTTTTGCACTCGCCTGTTTATTATATCGGTCACACTGGTTTACAGCACACGCTCCAGACATTGTCCTTGGCTTTTAGAGAGCACCACCCTTGTTCATTGATTTGCCACCATCCATCTAGAACCGGGCAGTCTTTGGTCATTAATCGCCAAGTCAAGTAAATCCCACTCGGGGTTGGCCATTGCCGCGGGTACGTAATATATAGCAACAGAGAATACTGTGCACGACTCTTTCTGAAGTAGGAAGTACCGGATCATCAATCTCAACAGCGTGTGCGGCCATCACAACTTCTTACCATCCCGTCGCATTCACAGCCTGTCTGTGGTGGACGATACAACTGCAGTCTCAGCTCACCACTGATTTAGATAGCCGATCAAAATCTTCTATCGGTTCTTCATTAAAGAGAGCTAGTGAAGTCCACCACGCATTGTCATGGAGCATGTGTCTGGAACGAAACCCTCCCACACCCTTCAGTCATGTGCAGTCACGCAAGATTCTCTGTGTAACAGGCATGACAACATGGCGGAACAGCTTGGGACTGCAATTTGCCATCGGGGTATTCACATTACACTAGAACCCGGAGTGCCCACTTTGAGCTCCTTTATCAAACCCGATCTGCTCGCTCTCATAGAGACTACAGTATATGTTATGGACGTTGCAATCTGTGACGCAAACCGCATGCAACAAGTCTACAAACTGAAATTGGACAGATGTGGTATCGAACTTCATGCAGATGCGATTTCCAGATATCTATGCGCGCACTTTCCACAAGTGTCTAATATTATCCACAATCCCGCGCTTTTGAACAAGCACGGATTTACTTGTCCTGCTAAAGCGATACATCGAAATTCCCTGTCTTTCGCGGTTCGGCATTTCGGATTTGTGTCTCCGCGATTCCCCGAGAAACCCAAAATATATGGTTCCTCTATGCGCGGAGCCTCCCTACACCTTACACAACACGCAAAAATACTGACCAATTTGGTGTGCGGCTTCGCTCAGTTTGTAGAATTCTTTATTCTGGCATATTTTTCCGTACTTTATTGGCACATAGTCCTGTCTTGACAGTTTGATGTAAGCCCCGACCTTAGGTTTTGTAAACAAATTCTCAAAAATAGACCCATTGCGAAAGCTATAACTGCTTTGAACCTGAGATGTGTCGTCAGAAAACGACTAACTTCGGTCTGAAAGACTGTATTTACAAGGCCACGATGAGGACCGCCCTCCTCTAAGTTAGACTTGGCTCTTCTGGTCCGAAGATTTGAATTGCCTTTTAGTCTGACTGTCGTTGCTTGTGAAGCGTTGCTGAGGTCGGATGACACCAGCGTGTCAGGAATGATGATATGCCTACCCCAATACTTGGCGAAACTGTGAAGTTATTTGGATAAGTGCTCCGTGGTCACCGCTTACCGAGAAGAGTCTTACTTTGCTTACTGGATGTTAGATGGCGGGAGGCTCAAGGTTGATACAGGTTGACTTGAAAGTTTTATATGAAACCACTATCGATGAAGCTGGGTGCTGTTAGTCCAGTTGGAGTCAACAAAACTACCCTGTGCTTAGCTCGAAACTTTAGCAGATATGGCTCGCAGTCGGCACCATTGGCGGATTTGTTATCATCTAGTCGGATTGCATGTTCAATTTGTTTCTGAGGCTGTTTTCGCCGATGTGATGGCTGCATATTACGCAGAGCGGTGGGACCCACAGGGAAGCTATCTCGCCGATAGCCAGCAGTTTGTGACTGTGTGTTATTGGCAAAGCGTAGGCGCTTTGACTCTATGTTTTCTTGAGGCATTTACGTTTCACGCTAGCTTCCCGTCCTTTCCACTCATTGTTCTTTAATCCGTAGGTCATTTTGATTGTATGGCAGCGAAGTACCAATTTAAATAGCTGACCTAGTACTGTTGTTTTGTTTTTGTTTGGTTATATTCTCACCACCCAACGAATCCTCTGAGGTTCTTGATGCAGCAGCTCATGCGTCTGGCTCGTAACTTCGACGTCTCATATGTTGAGACCCAGCTGCTGCTTGGATTCAGGCGCCCTGGCAACATCCCTGCCTGCATACCTCCGCTCGCGTTTGCAAGGCCGTGAAACATCATTGCAAATTACTGGCGTATGGCTAACACCTTGGTGCTATTTATCTATCGTCGTATCTGTCCTCATATGGGCTTTAGTGGCCGAAGACTCCTGGTGTATTTGGAGATAGTTGCCCAAAGTTGTCTATTTTGCGAGACAGAGCTATTTCTCGCCCCTTCATACTATTGCCGGACTGTGCCCCTTCGCACTACATGTTGGTGCGCTAGTAGGGTCTGGGCAACCGGGTAGTATCTCGCCCTCTGACGAAACCATGGACTTTGATGTGTTGTGTTGTCTTTTCTTTTACTATTTTTGTACCTTGTTTTGAGTTCCACTGTTTTCCGATGGCTGCATGTCTATTCATAGACTGTTGCAATATATATATATATATATATATATATATATATATATATATATATATATATATATATATATACATAAATAAATATATATATATATATATATATATATATATATATATATATATATATATATGGTTGGCGGCATCCGGTTTCGGAT